AAACATTATTTAAATATCTTTATCAATAGGTTAGGTTGTTATCGGGTTTTGTTCAAGTTCAAGTTCAACCACCCTCTTTTGCTCCCCCACCTCCACCCGCATGAAAATAATTATTTTATTGAAATTTGTTTGAATTATAGTGTATCAAAATTATCAAAATAATCAACTTTCAACCCCCATAACTTTTTATGGGGGTGAGACCGCCGCAAATTTTTTGTGGGGTTTTACTCAAGTGACCACCCTCTTTTGAATTAACGGCTGGGCTACTATGTACGTACTATGTCTATGAGGGTGCGAGGTGATCACGTGCTGTGCATTTGTTTATGTTGGTGACTTGGTTTTGAATACACTATAGGCTTAAAAGTGAGCTCAATCAAATAGAGTAAGAAAATCATTCTGCGAACACACAAAGTGAAATAATGCACTCTTTAAATTGTTATACATAAATAATTATTCCAGCACAGTTACACATATTTTAATTATGCAATGTAAAAGTATTAGTGCCGAAAAAAAAACAAAACAATCTCAAACAAATTATAGTGACAGTTGACATACAAAAACTTCGTCTTTTGAATTATGATTGCGGTTTTTTTTGTTTTAGGAAATTTATGCATTGTTGCAGACAAATTTTTACAACTGTTATTACAACTCATAACAACAATCCACCATTTTATTAGAAAAATCACAAAAAATTATAAGACTTGATGGTAAACAACCTTTAAGATCGGCGAAACAAACGGGCGCGTAGTTTTATTTTGCACTAAGCACGCTTTGAATTCAGTGCATCTTTACTGTTTCTCGGGGCATGTAAGCTCCTGTGACGTCAAGCATTAAGACACACTGTCTTAAGAGGGTCGCATCTCCGTTATTAATTTGAATAGTAGGGTGCGATTTTAATTGTTATTATTAGTTTTTTTTTTTTTTTTTTTGTTTGAGTTTTTTTTTTTTGGTTCACACCCACTTTAATGTGATTGACCTGTAATTTTTTTACAATAATTATATCCCGATATGTAATTGGGCTCTAACTACTACAGTGCTTTTTAATAATTTAAATAATTATTAACTCCACAAAAAAAAGATGTTCATAAAGCAAAACAATTTGGTCGTATCGAAAATCGTCCATTTGATAATTTGCTATTATTTTGTCTTTAATTAACGTTGAATAAAAAAAATTGTCTTATTATTTTTAGAAAATACTGTGTGTTTTTCTAACTTGATATAAAATTAAAGGAACTTCTAAGGCGTTTGTTATTAAAATAATAATTTCTAGTATCAACAGCAGTTTGCTGTCACAGAATGGGAATGCAGGTAATTCAGTCGAGACTGATTTCGCCATGCGTTATCTACCCACTTCTGGGGTGCATATTCGTATCGAACGTAGCGTATCGCAATTGAGCCGATTGGGGAGCTGTAAAGGAACATACGAAATCTTATTTGTGAGTTCAATACAGTAAGGAGCGTGGAGGTTAATATTTAGTCAGCTGGCACGCCTTTGTCTAGGGTTCGTTCCACAGTCGACGTATTTATATTCTAAATTTGTTTCTTTCTACTAATTTTTTTTTTTGACGGATATATTTGGTATCATAAGGTTACTGTGTAGAATGCTGTCATGTATTTTTTATGCATTAATGTCGAAGTGTAAAGCATATCGGACGACTGATATCGCACAAACTTATGCGACCATGGTCGTTCGATACGCGATTGACTTCGGCATTTGCAAATCTGCGGTACGCTACGTCCGATACGGATATGCTTCCGGGGGTGCTTGTGATGCTAATAGTTAAAAAATAATTTCTTTCGCGAATAAGTCGGGTTAGTATATTCCACAACTCAACAACTAATTCCCACGGATAATTTATGCACGATAAATCAAGTATCGCCACAAGATCACTTATTTCGCAAATAATTTCCCTACCGCACTACAATTTTGTACACTCCGTTGTTTGACCTAAATTTTCTAAAATAGTCGAATTTCTCGTATACATAAATAAATATACATTAAGACGTAGCGACTGTTCATTAAAAGCTGCTTAATTTAATGAAAGCAGTGTTTTTTTTTTATAGTTTTCCAAATAACTAAGGCTGCAAAAAATATTGAAAAAATTGGGGTGGTTTTTAGTGGCAATTTCTTGAGGTACACCGACAAAAAAAAACACGTATAATCAGTAGGTATCCAATTGTAATATGTAACAATTACATAGACCTGTGACGGGTAGAACATATTTAAAAAATAAAAATTCTTCTTAAGCAGGCACATATTGTATTCTAGCTGATTAAAATAAAAACAGCATTTTTCATAAAATGTTAATATCTTTAATTTTCCAAGCGGTATGTTACTTCGTTGAGCTGCTGGATGGTGACAACAATATTAATATTGAGTACTTAAAGGAAAATGCTAATATAATAAGGATGAAAGTTCGTTCTCGACTAATCAATAGAAGGACATCAATGTTTTGTTGAATACGAACAACTATAAGGGTATAAAAAGTTACACCTGCGATTGTGTTAATGGAAATAGGACTATAGCTTGTTGCTTACATGCAGCATCAATAACAACTCTACAAAAAAAAGAATTTTGTCTTTGTCCTAAAATTTATTTTATGATTTTTCTATGCATTATGTTCCAAAATAAAGGAAAAATACCCATATTCATATAAAGTTTGCTTTTGTGTTAGTTACGGTAATAGTACTTTTTTTGAGTTATCATCTATGAAAAGAGCATTAAATAGTTCTGGTATATTTAAAAATACCTCGAAAAAGTAAAGAGGTACTATTTTAACAACGCAAGAGTTTTTTTTTCAAGGAATTGGAATGCCCTGTGTTCCCAGTGAGTGTCGTTTATTTATTAACAGCTCGACGAGTAGCCTGAAAGCAGTTTATTACATAACGAAAATAAATTTCCATCTTTTCCAGTCGGTCATTCTGTACATTTGAAAGAAAACTATGAAAGTGTCAAAAATTTACTCGAAACTTTCAAGTATCAAGAGCATAAGTGGCAGTTCATTGGAGATTTTAAGATGGTAGGATTTTTAATGGGACTACAGGGTGGATATCCAAAATATCCGTGTTATCTCTATTTGTGGGACAGTAGAGCGGATGTTCACTAAGAACTGAATTTCTTGTTGGGAAACAAAACGTAAAATGTGAGCCAATTGCTGAACCTGAAGTTAGGACTTATGAAACAATTCGTAAAACAATTAGATAAAGGCCGGACGAAGGAAGCCGGTGAACGGTCGCGCAGGTACATGCCCATTTATGACCTATATGGGTAAGTCACTCGGAACCGATACACAAATAAGCTTTCAGATATTTATTTTAAATATTTAATCCACGCCGATGATAGGAATACTGAAGAAAGAGGGCTGCAATCATTATATCTAAAACTGCCTACTTTTGCCACCGCTCATCCACGCCATTTTACAATTTCCGCCAGCTTCCAGCGTCAGGCCTGTAAATGATCTGAAGTTTTTACGGTTTTAAACAAATTTTTCCCAAAATTGTCAGAAGCAAAGGTTAAAGCTGAAATTTTTGTTGATTTATAAATTAAAAAGTGCTCAACAAAAAGTTGGAATAGTTTTAAAGGAGTAGTTTCTGGATTTTTAGGGAATAACAAAGTTGAAAATTACCGAGAGCTAGTTGATAAATTGATAGAAGACTTTAAAACTGTGGGTTGCAGAATGTCTCTAAATGTACATAGGTATGCTGCATGCTCATTTAGATAATTTTAAAAACAACGTGGGGGTGTATCCAAAAGAACAAGGACAACGTTTTTATCAAGATATTATGGCTTTCAAACAATGTTATTAAGGTCAATACAACGAAAATATGATGGGGGACTACATTTGGGTTTTAGTGAGAGAAAATAGTTATAAATATGAAAGACAAAGTAATAGAGTTCACTTTTAAACTTTTTTCCTCTATTTCGTAATTTAATATCATAGTAAAAGTTCATAAAAACTTATATATAAATATATTTGTTTCAATTTATCGATAAATAAAAATTTAAACCATAGATTTTCCAAAATATCAATCAACTGTGCCCCGGATACAAAAGCAAACTTTTTTCAGGCCGTATATTGTTTTTCCGTCCAATACATAAATCTATCTAAATTTCATACCCTCTTATCAAAGTCAATATTCGTGTAATACCTGTGTTATGTATGTAAATGAAAGTAAGCTATGTGAAATCTTTGCAAATGCACATGCTTAATTTTACGTTTGTTTCTAAGTAAATTAACACATTTTGAATTGAAATTAACTATTTTGTTGAAATTTACAATTCTTGTATCATATGCACACGAGCGACTCTAGACAGAGTTGAAACTTGTTAACTTCTCAAGTATAAGGACGTTNAATTTTTTTTTTTTTAAATAGTTGGTATTAATCTGCATTTTCATAATTAACTCCATTTCATGTTAAATCTATAAAGTGTTTTGCGAAAATTACCAAAAATATAATGTTGGAATGTATTACTCAAAATAATAACTGTGATGTGACATCGGGAACATTTATACATGGTAAATAGGTTGTCGAATTTACCAATTTGTTTGCAAAATAAGTGATTTGTTGGGATTTTGTAGTAAAATACTCCTGAAAGGGGGTAATATTTCATTTATCGCGCGCGAATTACTTGCGGGAATTTGTCGTTCGCCCCTAATGAATTACGTAGTTGTGGAGTTGGAATATTTTCTGCAATGGAATTTCCAACTTATTCGCGAAAGGAGTGATTTTTTGATGATTCACAAGAACGTCCTCGGAAGGAGGTACAGTTTCGTTTATACTTCGGGAATTGGCTGTGGGAAGTTGCCGTTCTCTCCGGGGGAAATTTTCACAATAGAATGCAGGATTTATGGTTATTCCGAGCAAAGCACTCTCCGGAATATATTTTAAGATGATAAGACAATTTTTTATTTCAAATATAAAAAAAAATGACTAAACAAAAAGGCAAATTATGACCGACGATTTTTCGATTTCTGCGGGTTATCATGTTATTTATATCTACATGCTCTGAAGACCATTTCTTAAATTTAAATTTACATTATTTAAAATGCAGGAGAATGCAATTAAGAGCCTTAGTAACCACATAATTAGTCTTTTACTAATCAATATCGTATTGTTCATTTTTGGTAAAATTATATCTTTATTTTTTGTTTTTTTACACACTTATTAATGAAAGTACTGATTCTTAGGATTCCTTTTTAATGTTTGTTTTAATACGTTGTTCAGTAAAGAAACAGTTGAATATGAAATAAATAATCAATTTTAGGTAATGGCAGAACTTCGAACTGGCGTAAAATTAAAAAAGGTTCATTATTCTAAAGCCCCAATAGAGTATGAGCTGACTCCTTATGAAATTCTCATGAAGGATATTCGATCGTGCCGATACAATCTACGCAAAATAATGGTAAAAGGCGATGTACCTTACAAAGTAACTAAAGATGCACATGCAATCATATTAGAATTTATTCGCTCTCGACCACCCTTAAAAAAAGTCTCAGAACGCAAATTAGCTCCACCTCCTAGACCTACTTTAACACCAAGGGAACAATTATTAAGTTCCATTAGGAAAGGTCGTCAGTTACGTCCTGTAGAGGGGATGATAACTTCTAAAACTTCTCCCAATCCTAACATGCGTAAAATAATAAAAGTAGACTTTTCCCAGTTATTAGATGATTATGATGATGTTGATGAAAATGAAGGAAGTGATGAAGCAATAGAAGGAGCTCCAGGCCTGTGGGCTTTAGAAGACTGTCATCAACCATATCAAATTGCAGAACTTGAACCATACGATTTGGCAACTGGTGGGATTTCTAAAATACGTGATTATAAATATCCGTTGAAAAGATTCGACACATTAAAATTTCCTAATAATAGTGGTAGTCAGTCAGTTCCACAATCACGACCAGGTTCTCGACAATCTTATGACAGCACTGATATGACCCCTGAAGCCACTAAAAGATTGCAAGAAAGTCTTACATTAGAGGACAGGCTGTCTCTAACATTACAAGAAATAGTTCACATCAGGCAAGTCTTAACAAAAGCTGAACTAGATGCTTTGCCTAATGAAAGTAGGGTAAAATCAGATGTGGAAAGCAGGAAAGTTTGTTTCCTTTGCCTTAAAACAAGATTTAGTATTTTTGGTCCTAGAGGTCATAGATGCACACTGTGTCGCCGAACAGTATGTACCAGATGTTTCAGTAACATGTACATTCCGATGGAGCATTTTGATACTGTTCCTGTAGTACTTTTAAGTCCCAGTATGCTAATAGCAGCAGATGATGATGAAATGTCTGATTCGAGGTCAAGTTCTAGATTACGATCATCTTCTCACCCTTCTGCTCCTGTATGTCATGATTGTAGAATGATGATACAGAAAGTAGCAGAAACGGCCAAGGTAAATATGGCAGCTGTTAGGGATCGTACCTTGCAGAACTTGTCTTTAAATTTATCTCCGGTTTTTTAAAATATTTTTTGTCTAGTGAGTTCAAATCTAACCAGTGGTTAAATTCTTCATGTAGATGTGTATATGTATGTAAATGTGTTCTTAAGGTCATTTTATTTTTTTAATTCTATAAATAAATATTTATAGCATATATAAATGTAAATCTAGCAAATTTTAAGAATATAACTATAGCGTGATTGTTTCGCACATTGTTGAAAAAGTAAATTTAAGTAACAAAATTATAATTCTACAGTTGGTATTAACTGCACTTGCTCAAAAGTAATACTCATACACAAACAAGCACTACAATATGACATTTAATTACATTTACCGTTTTTGATGTTTCACCAAAATATAAGTATCATTTTACAGATGTGATTCAATTTTGTTTTGAACAGCATAATGTACAATAAATTATTGCAATGTTCTTTCTTTTTATTGATGTATGATAAGGTAATATTGACAATTCAAATAATAAGCCCTGATTTGCCGAAAAAGTATCAAAAGGGAAAATTTTCACTTTACATAGGTCTGATTATTCTGTTACTTGTGTGTACCTTAAGATGGTACAATTAAATGTGTCAAGAGGCCTGTAGTGGGTTTCCTAAATTGCGATAAAAACAAAGAAGACCAATCTCCAAAGAACAAATCCAGCTTCTATAAATAGCTGGTGTAAGGTCGGAAGTGAACAATTCTGTTACTATATAGTAGTGAATGAGTGATTAATTAAAAATAGTGGTATTAAGTTAAATAAACTAGTAGCAGTGCGACATGTGCTTTATTAGGCGACATACGTTCTTTTTATTTAAGTTCATTTTGTTTTGCATTATTTTTTGACGTGACAACGTCTTATAATTCGATGGAGCCGGCTGCACGCACGAAAAAACATGACTCATGAGGCGTTACCTCGTTCTGAGGCGTTCCATATAAGGCTTGAAGTGCAAGCAAGAGCGCGGAACGATCGACAAAGAGGCACAATCGGCCTCCGCGTTCGGCAGCGTTCGACATCTGTCTCTCTCCTACTTGAGTGAGCGATGCGTCCGCGTGGACAGCTGCTATACAATAATACATTTCCATTTACCTCCTTCTCTATATCCATACAAAATATCTATCAAACAAATAAAATTAAAATTTTCTTTTGAAAAATAAAACCATTCCATCAGTATTTTCTTATGACGTTGTCACGTTCAACTATCGTCGGTAAACCGACTTTACAGACAACCGATTTTTCTGCTCATCCAAATGCTTCTCTTTTTTTAAGTATATCCGTCAGTTACCATGTATTGGTTTCTTCGAATGAATCGATCTTCTCATGCATAGCTATAATCCATTTATTTTTATCTTTGCTTGACATGTCTTCTTCAAAATTTTTGGGCTTATGTGCGTTTTCAATTATCAAATTTATCTCTTCGATGAATCTCTTGCCTGTTTCTTTTCGTTGACCTGACAGAAATTCTTTGTGGAAGCCGCTCCTTATTAACTTCTACGCCCCCTTCCTTTTCTTCCTCTTCTTTTGGTTTCTCGACATCGGTGTTTCTTTCCTACTTTTGGTTCTCCTTTACCACTTGAATTTGAAAATTGATTTCTATTTCTCTGAGCCTTCCGACTTTCTGAAAATGTAACATCATAACCTAAGTATTTATACTTTGCGTGTTACTGGATTGGAACATCGAAATACATTAGAATTATTATCGTATGTAAGAAATATCATCTCGTTTCCAGTTTAATCCTGCTTCCTCCTTTTTTATCGGAACTTATACGAACTATGTACTTCCAAACGAATGCGTTTAACAGAGTGCAAATCGGTTTCCACTCCACTATTCAAATGACATTAATTCCGTTGATCTTGTGATGATACAGTTCTACCGTTTGTTTTCTATCTTGATTAGCCTTTTCTAAATTTTAGTTTCCTTATATTTGTCCAAAAAATGGAATAATTTTTTTCTCCCGTTTTCCTTATATTGTTGATAAACTGTTCTGTCTAAATCAACCTTGTATAAATACAAATTATCATAAGATCCATACACAAGATGGAATGGAATTTAACCGATAGAGGTATGTATTGACTCATTATAAATTAAAATAGGACGTTTAGCTAACAAGTTTCCGAAAAAGTAAGTTTGTGGGGATTTCTTTCATTCTTGGCCAATAAAATTGTGTTTTTAGATGTTGATGATTTTTTAAATTAACTGATGGTATTTATTATTAATTTCGTGTTGTTTTTCATTTTATATAATGCCTTTAGTATACAAATTACTTTCAACAAATTTCATTTTATTTCTTTTGAAAACGTCTGCGATCAATCTAGAAAAAATGATCTCTAGTTCTTTATCTTTAAAGAGAACGCTATAAATATAACGTTTTCGGTACGCCTCTACATTTTTATTGCTTTGTGTTAAATAAAAGACTTGCTTTAATATAATTAATTATTGATAATAATTATTTATTGAACATTTGAACTTGTTACCTTTACTGTGGTGTGGAGTCAACTGACTCAGAAACAAAAGCGTTCTCTTAACTAACCGTCAATAGGCACTGTCGCCAATCTTACAAAACTAAATGTACCCAGTACTCAACACGCTTCCTTACATTTAGATTTGTTATTAATTTAATGAAGTTTTAATAATTCTCCGTATTTCAAAAATTTTTCTTTTGATAAAGCCTTGGTGAAAATATCAGCAATATTATTTTCTGATTATATTTTAACAACTGCTATATTACCCTTTTCATAGTTTTCATTCACAAAATGGTATTGAACCTTAATATGTTTAGAATTTTTAGTAAAATTTCCATGCTTCGCAATAGTTAATGCACTAGAATTATCTTCATAAATCTTAATTGGCCTCGGTACATTCACATTAAAAGTATCTTTTAACATACCATACATTAGATTTACATTTGAAACTGCCTCCGGCAATGCTACATATTCAGCTAAAGTCGAGGACTTTGTAACTGAACTTTGTTTATGCGATTTTCAATACACTGTATTGCCAAATACGCTTATCAAATACCCCGATGTGGACCTGCGATCAACATTACCTCCAGCCCAATCTGCATCTACTAAACAATCTAAAACTTCAGCACTTGTATTTCTTTTAAATATTAATTTTAAATCTTTTGTTGCATACAGGTACTTTAAAACTCGAAGTGCATACTTAAAGTGCGATTCGTCATAACAATTTTGAAATCTGCTTAGGTAATTCACACAATATGCAATATCAGGTCTAGTCCCAGTGCTGATATATAACAGTTCACCAATTAAATTTCTATATAGAATATTTGCACTCACTGTTTTGGCAGGATCTAGCTTTAAATTCACTTCCATTGGCGTTTTATACAACTTAGCATTTTCTAACTTATATTTAAAGGCTAACGATGCAATATATTTTTGTTGACTTAAAGTCATTTCACTATCTTTTACTTGATAAATAATGTCTATTCCTACATATGTGCCAATTTTGCCCATATCACGCATTTTGAAACGTTTTAAAAATTTTTCCTTGACCCTTTGAATTACTTCTTTACACTTACAGCAGATCAACAGATCATCAACAAACAGTAATATGAAGATGCACTCATTTTCAACCCATTTGACATATAAACAGTAATCATAATTGCTTTTTACAAAGTTCAATTCTTTCATAAATTTATTGAAGCATTCATACCAAGATCTATGACTCTCTTTTAATCCATACAATGATTTCATTAACTTATAAACTTTGCTCGTTCCATCTTCATATCCTTCTGGCTGATTTACATAAACTTCAGAACTAATTTCCCCATTTAGGAATGCTGTTTCGACATCCATTTGATCTATTTTAAACTTATATTGACAACGAAATGCTAACAACATTTTCAACGTTTGCATTTTTACTACAGATGAATAAATTTTATCAATAAATTCTTGTTGTTGAAAACCCCTAACAATTAGTCGTGCTTTATAATTTCCTTCATTTTTCTTTCTAAAAATCCATTTAACATCTATGACATTTTTATTTTTACGTTTATCAACTAATACCCAAGTATTATTTTGTTTTAAACTATTCATTTCTTTATCCATAGCGCTTTTCCAATGTTCTGATTCTTTACCATTCACCGCTTCCTCAAACGTATTGAGAACTATCGCATTACAGTAATTAACATATACGTATTGAACTACATTCTCATTAAAGTATCGACTATTAGGTTTTGAAGTTCTGTTTGATCGTCTTAATTTTATTTCAGACTCTTTATCGCTATTTTCATTCACTCTGTTTGATATTTCTCCCTCAGACTCAGCAGTATTTAAAGTATTTTGACTTTGATAAGCTTCATCAATTTCCTCTACATTAGTATTTTCATTTCCATTAGTGTTAGTATTATCACTAAAACCTATACATTTCATATCTTTTTCAATAACATCAACATGTCCAGCTTCAATAATTTTATTATCAATTAGTACTCTGTAAACTACATCAGAATATCCTAATAATACTCCAAATTTAGCTTTGTTATCCTACTTAGAACTTCTTAGTTGCTTAGGTACTCTTACAAATATTTTACTCTCATACGAGTACATTTTTAAATATTTAGCACTTGGTTTGATAAAAAAATATTTCGTAAGGTGTTTTCATTTCTATCGTATTCGCCAGTGATCTGTTTTTTAAATAAGCGGCTGCTTTTACAATTTCTGGCCAGTATATTTTATTAACTTTAGTTTCTGCAAGTAAACATCTTACCATATCCATAATAGAACTATTATACCTCTCAGCGACTCCATTGAGTTCGTGAACGTAAAGAGGACTGGGACTTATAGTTATACCTTTATTTATCGCAAAATTAAATACATTTGAATTTACATACTCTTTACCATTGTCACATCTTACCATCTTAATTCTTTAGATCTCTACTAGATTAACATCATCNAGAAATTACTTTCCTTAAACGGTTCGGCATAGAGTTGACTAACTTAGACGTTTCGTCTGCCGTTATTTTACCCCACTCCTCAATCAACTTGGTTTTAAAAATATTTTTTTGACATTATCTGGTATTTGCGAATTCGCAGTTCTAATAATTCCCATAAATGTTCAATTGGGTTGAGGTCGGGTAACTGTGGTGACGAGTGCAATTGTTTCAGGACATGGTATAACAACCATTCTTTCATAATATGGGAAGTATGCTTAGGGTCGTTATCCTGTTGAAAAATAAAATCATTTTCTAATGATAATTTTTCCGCCGATAACTGTAAATTGTGTTTCAAAATATCCAGGTCACCAAATCGATCCATGGTTGATTCTATAAAATGTAACTGGCCAATGCCACTTGCCGTCATGGGCCCCCAAACCATAACGTTACCATCCCCATTTTTCACAGTGGGTCGTAAATTTTTGGTAACCATTTCTGCCTTCTACTTTCTCCATACAATTGTCCTCCCATCCGAACCCCATA